GAATTCGCGACTGAGGAGGACGAGGTTGGGGAGCGTGCGTCGAGCCAAGGTGGAGGGAGGGCAAAGGGAGAACCTGTGGATGGAGGATCAGGTTTCAACCTTGGCACGACTGCAGCCCCGGGGCCCGCAGGGCCGCCCGCGCGCATAGCGCCGCCGGCGCCGCCGGCCGCGCCCCAGACTCCTGGGGCGCGGGCGACGCTGGCGATGGCGCCCCCTCGAGCAGGGAGAGCGCGAGCGTCGCCCCATCTACCACGTCGACCGGCACGGCCGATGTGGGCGGCGGCGAGGACGACCGCCGCAGCAGCAGCGGCCGCGGTAGCGGCGGCAGCGGCGGCAGCGGCGGCGACAGCAGTAGCCGCGGTAGCGGCGGCAGTGGCAGCGACAGCAGCAGCGGTGGCAGCAGCGTCGATGACGGCGGCAGCGACAGCAGCAGTGGCAGCGACAGCGAGACGGATCTCCCGGCGCTCTGTGGGCCAGAGGCCCGGCGGCTCGCCCGCTTCGACAAGCCGGCGGAACTAACTAGCCGCCGCACGAGGGCGAACCCTAGCCGAAACCCGAGGTACGAGTCGCCCCCGTCGCCGACAAGTGCCGGAGCCCTGCTCGCCTCGGCAGCGAGCCTGCCCGTCAGCAGCACGGAGGAGTTCACCAGCTGAGTGTTCTCGGCGGTACTTCACGTGGCGGAAGGGCTAGAGGCGAGGGCAGAGCGAGAGTTGCGGTTCGAGCGCGCGGAAGAGGCCCACGCTGCGCGCCAAGAGGCGGAGGAACTCCTGCTGGGTGCGGTGGACCTCATGCTCAACTCGCCAGACGCCTCCGAGACGGCTCTGNGAGTGTCAATGGTTTGATGGGTGTGCCATCGAGAGAGATGTAGAGGCTGGGACTCTTAGAATCTCCCAAACCGCGTATATCGACAGCATGGTTGAACGCTTCGATGTGAAATCAACTTCCCGCATCCCCGCTACCCCTGGTGCCGATCTAGGGCCGAAGCGAGAGGATGAGGAAGGAGGGGAGTGGCCGGTGAGGGAGGCCATCGGCTATCGGCAGCATGATTTGGGTGTCAAGGTTCTCGACGTCTCGTTCGCCGTGCGTGCGGTAGCGCGCCACGCCCACGCCCCGGCGAAGACGCACTGGCATGCCATCCAGAAGATCCTCGGCTACTTGAAAGGGACTAGGGACCTCGGCATCACCTACCAACGGGGATCGGGGTTAGGGCTGGCCGTGTACGTAGACGCTAGCTACGCCGACACGGAGGATAGGCGTTCGGTGTCAGGGTTGGCGACGACGGTTGGAGGTACCGTAGTCAGCCATGG